ACTAGGTGCGTTCCTCTAAGTCTTCCTACCAATATGACCAAGTTGCAAAAACAAGGTCAAACAACTTCTTGCTAACATCCTGTTTAAATTGGTCACGTTGTCTTTCTTCTCTCGCTCTACGGAGTTTAGAATGTTCTATTTCGCGCCATCTTTAAAAGGTTGTCTTTCTACTGTCAGCCCCCTCATAATGTATTCAGCCGTTTCAAAATGGGAACATCAGCTCTACTCATATTATTGTGGGCAATGTCATCACCTTAAACGAAATTGGATGAATAAATTTTATATAATTGATTTACTGGTAGTATCAAAATGCTACATATAAACGAAAAAAATGATGAGTAATGCTAAAAAAATAATTGAGGTAACATTTCGTATACATTTTATAAACAGCTTTTTAGATTTGCTACTCTTTTTACTACTTTCACTTAACACTAAGAAGCCTACCCAAATCCTAAGACTAGTAGTAGATGTGCTTTTTTTAAATAAATGGCCATAGTGTTTTTATTTGCCCCAACTCGGGGCGGTAATTTAATGAAGAAAATAAATTTACTAAACTTTGCTTTACCCCACAGTTTGGACTTGAGTTCGATCTTAAACAAGTAAAGATAGCATCAGAAAAGCATAAATCAAGACTAAACCTCTAACCTTGCATATATTCTCGAAGCACTTTCTCAAATGAGGCTGCACAGCTGTAGGGTCCTTCGTTTGCGAAAGTATTTCTAGCAGCTCATCATCCGAAAGAAAGAAGAATCTCGGGAAAGCCTGGCGCTTGGTTTCCAGATATTCACTCAGACTCTTCTGAACCTGTTCTAGCAGTTTGTTACACTCACGCAGGTTGTTTAAAAGCCGGCTTTCGGGACACAGCGTGATCACTTGTGGGTTCTCTTTGCAAGACTTCATTACCTTGCGCCAGATGCGGTCCATTGTGGCATATCGCTTCCCCTCAAGCGGCAGTTGCCGATTGATGTCTTCTGAACTGAATATCGGCTCCAGATAAAGCCATTGACATTGACAGTGCAACCATTCGTCGATTACGTCCTGTGTGATGCGCAATTTTTGCTCCCACTGAGTGATACGATCCTCAAATGGCTTTTTATAGGGTGAAAATCCCATGGCCTGTGTCATCACAATGTGATCATCTAGCAGCTGATTGACCTCATCGGCCACCTTTATGATGCAAGTTCCCGTTTGTTTGTAGGCCAGAACATCAAACTTCACCGGCTCCCACTCTGTTGCCATTTTGTTGAGTGCATTCTCAATAGCATACTCCTTTCCGGCTATCTCGCCGACTTTAGAAATGGAAGCAATGTGCTCCTAAATGTCAATAATAAAATAGAGTATAATCGGTAGCACATAAATTTAGTATAACAGTAATAGAATGCAAATAAGGCAGGAGACGCAGCAATGAGTGTAGAGTACCTCTTGGACAGGCAAAAGCAAATAAGCTGAAAGGTCACACTAGAATTGATAATTCTGAATAGAAATAGCAGGCTTCAATTTGCGAAAGCATTTCTGCCAAACACAATGACCAAGGCAGATCAACTGATGCAACATGTTTGGTTATGTTCAATAGCAAAAAGCCAACTCGTTGGTAACTCTACATTCAGAGAGCATTGTCAACTTGCAGAAAAGGCATTTAGTTCACATGGCTTTACGGGCAATTACTTTTGGAGCGTGTCTTTTAAATGCAAAATTCCAAAGTTCAGGACAAAGCCTCCTCAGTTCATCGGTGCTGAGCATGTCTGAGATAAGTGCAAAGTTGAAACTTGCTGCCTGGCATCGATCGGTGGAAGAATTTGACTTCAGATCAAGTTATGGCCTTCTATTGCCTCACTGTCTGTTGTAATGGCTTGACAATAGTAAAAAATTAGTCTCAGACCTGACATAAGCCGGCTGGTTTTGTGTCCTAATCGAAAGGATCTTAGTAAACTTGGTGTCAGATGTTGACTTGGTACTGGCATTTACAATCAGGCAAAGCTTGTAGTGATGTATCACTACACAGCTACAGTCTTAGCACAAATCAGGATATTAAATTGTCAAAAAGAAGGGACAAATAACTAAAAAATCTAATATGATCTGTATTTACCCAATTTCGTTTAAGGTAATGAAGAACTGGTAGAAGAAGAATTTTCCCACAATCTAATGAGTTAGAATTAAATATTGTTTTCGTGACTACCAGTAAATCAGTAGTATGAGATGTATTCATCCAATTTCGTCTGAGGTGATGAAGGACTGGTAGAAGAAGAATTTTCCCACAATGACATGAGTTGAGATGACGTTTCCATTGAATTTCACATAGCCTTGCTTTTCAAAAAGTTGTTCTCATCCAGACAGAAGTGGACTGCAGTTTAGACCTCGCATCGGTCTTATCAACACTCTCAGCGGGAGTCGAACCGCGACAGTGCAGGATGGTAGCTTGACACGCTAAGCTCTCTGCTACATTGCCACGAGCGCCTTTGGAGTCACAGGGCAAATGTGAATTTGCAAGGAAGGCCAGACTTTTTTGCCATATCATATTCTTTTGGTGGAATTGTCGATAAAGCAAACGTATATCTGCTATAACAATCGACTACTATACTTTATTCTTCAAATCAAGTATTGTTTTCGTGAATACCAATAAATCAGTGGGAAAATTCTTCTTCTACCAGCTCTTCAATCACCTTAAACGAAATTGGGTGAATACATCTCATATTACTGATTTACTGGTAGTCACGAAAATAATACTCAATTCGAAAAATAAAAAATTTAAGTTTAAGGGATGAGTGTACCTTTTGGCGCCCAGTGTTGGGGCGTATTAATTAATGCTGTCAATGTCTAGAAAAATTGTAGTGAAAACTGTCTAATCTGTAAATATAACGTAAGAATGAAGAAAAGCAGGGTTTTAAAGATTTCATTGATGAAATATTATAGAATGACTCAAATGGAAAGTTGGCTGGAAGGAATTCGTGATGTGCCCTCAACGGAAACCGAAGACTGATGAATTGTGCAAGGAGGTCTTCCGCTCACCGTCCTGCGACCCCGATGAAACTGAGCTGAGCTTTCGTCTTTACTGTGACAGCCATCACCAGAGCAGGAATACATACTTCACGAAATAGAGCCCAAATATACTAAACCAAGAAAAAAGATGGCCGGCTTCAACCCTAATCGCTTTTTATACACCTAAATTCGCGATATTAATGAGGCCTCCTCTGATTTGGTTGGCTCTATATGCTTGCAAATGAGTGAAGTTAACATACCGAACCTGAAGTTCGAATGTTGGCAGCTATTTCATCACTCACAAACTAGCGTACGATCGCCTAATGTTGAAGCATGTTTGTGCTTGTGATATTGTCAATTCTGCTTAGTATGATAGTTCTAGCTAGACCCGAAGGTAATCCAGCCTCCCTCTCTTGCTCAGTGGCTCTTCCTGCACCCTCTCTTTCTCTCTCTTTCTTTAAGCCTATCCAACAGGCATAGAAAGTTCCTACCTAATTTTCTACACTCGTTCATTCTATTCAGAAGGTTGACTGTCTCGTTAATTTCTATAGACTCCTTAATCTTACGTGTGAAGTCCCCGTAATCCACAAAGAGTTGTATTTTGGACCAGTCTATTGAGTGTCCTGTATTGACAAAATGTGTTCAACAAGCTCAGATTGTTGGACCCACAGACCTTTATAGGCGGTTTTGTGTTTCCATAGTCTCCTGTGGATGCGTCAAGATCTCCCCTGCATACACCTTACCACATGAGCACAAAACCTTGTAACAGCCTGATCTCGAACGAGGGTCTGAATATTCCCTAAACGAAGGAACTACTGAAGAAAGTGTCCATTTCTCTTTATGTTCCATTTCCACATTAGTTCACCTAACCTTTTAGCAAGCTGATATGAAGGCAAAATAAGGAACCGAGTAGAATTTTCCCATTTTTTATCCTGCGCCTAATAGCAAACTCCTTTAATCTTGTCAACTGCAATTGATATATAATTATCTACTAATCCTAATGGGTAATTGTTTTGAAACAGTTTATCCCTCAATCTATCAATCCCCTGGTCCCTATGGTTTGCATCTGCTAGACGCAGACTCCTCATCATCATAGATGTCATAACTCCTATTTTCACTTCCTACGTATGGTTTGAAAAGAAATTAATAATGAAATCCGTGTGAGTGGGTTTCCTATATACGTCTAAACTTAACTTATTATCTAGTTTTCTCACTAATACACCCAAAAAAGGCAATTCATTTACCTTTTTTAACTCCATGTTAAGCTTAGTATTTGCATCTATTCTATTCATTAGCTGAAAGAATTCACCCAAACTATATTTGCCGTGTTGCCAAACAGCAAAGTAATGGTTCATATAACGAACTAATAACTTAGGAACTAGGAGTGTCTTTTGAAACACACGAACTTCTAATTGGGATATGTAGTTACTAACTGAAATTGGGGCTAAACAAAATCCTATAGTCATGCCTTGTGTCTGCTCATACAATTTACCATTGAAGGTAAAATATGCATTATACATTGCCAAATTGACTAATCTAATGATTAAAGCTTTGCTTAACTTTTTACCTGATATGATTTCAGGGTGTTGATCTAGAGTCGATTCTAGCGCCTTCATTTCCTCGTTTATCGGAATTTTAGTGTACATCGAAACTTATCAGCAAATCTCCTCTTTTTATCGTCTAATCATCAATCAACTTAATAAAGTCGTAGGAGTTCTTTACTCAAAACTTCCAAGCTTAGGAGATTTGCTTTAATAAATCGTGATGCTTTAAGCATCACGCCGCCTCTACTGTTTACAATAATCCTAGGTGGAGTACCTAGTGTGTGGATTTTGGGCAGACCATACACATTTGGGGGTCTAGCATCTCGCTGAAGAAGTGCATTCATTTTCCACTTTTCCAGTTCTCCACTGTTTACACATTATTGCTAAATACCCTTAAGTTTGACATTAAGGCCTTCTGCAGGATCCATAATTATAGTCTTATATGTTGTATCATCATCTAATGCCTCTAACATTTTCTCTACATAATCAGTCTTATCAAAATTACTACTGTTCCTCTCTTATATGCCCTTGATACTAATTGCTCGTTCTTCTTAAGCTTCTTTATAGTAATAGTAATATAGTGTTGTTACATGACCATCAATTAAAGGGACAACTTGTAGTTCAATGTGTAGAAAACTAAGTAGGAACATTTTGTGGCTATTGGATAGACTTAAGGAATTGGAGAAAGAGAGCGTGCAGGAAGAGCCACTGAGC